TATTTTTTAAACTAACTCGTTTAATTGTAATACATTTTAACATGTGTACAAAATCATTTATGAAAAATAAAGATTGATTCTTTTCTGGAGAAATACTTTTTTAATAAATGACAATAACTTTAAAATCTATTAGAAAACATTATAATATAAATATAAATTCTCTAAATGATTTTCAAAGCCAATGTAACTTTCTTAATAATAATAATTTATTAATATTCATTTTATGAAGTAGCAAAACATAAATAACATTTTTGAAATCATACAACAAATTTTGTAACATAAATCAACACATAAACAGTTGCAGAAATATCAATACTATCATTTACTATACCAACTAAATTTTCTTCTTTGTAATCTATGTAAAATATTATATAAATTTTATCTAATATTAATAATACAAAGTATCAATGAAATTTTAAAGATGTTTTTTTTCCTTAATACGTGCTAAAAATTATTATATGTACTAAAAATTATTTATAGCATATTTGAATTTATCTATGAAATAATAACTCTTGTTAATTTTACAAATTTACCCGCATGTGAAAATATAAACAAAGCATTGAAAAAATTATCATTGAAGAATTATCAGCTTAAAAGCAATATCACTATTACAAAACTAAATTTGTAGTCTGAAAAAGTATAAAAAGTATAAAATATTTTTTCCTTTATTTATTTTTAGTAATTCCAATAAATTTGGAACCACATCTACTATATTTTTATCACTTATATGGACATTCTGTAGAACATCTATTATTTTTTAATATTCATCATATTTACAAATTTTTAACTGGTCTTTTTCAGCCTTTAATAAAAATAATTATTTTCAAGTTAATCACGAAAAATCAAAATTTAAATAAAAGTAAATAATATATTCTTTTTTAACAATAATATTCTACTTTTCTGTGTTGATCTGTGTTGATCAATTTGACTGCACTACTGAATTCTTTAAAAATTTTAAAAGAAAAACATTTTTTCAACTTTCAATACATAATAGTACTTTAAATAGCTAAAGCCTCTTACCTTTTTTTCAAGCGGAGATTTTCTGTCCTTCCTTTCTTTTTCTTCCAATTTATAAAACAATGCAAAGTAGTGCACCACTTTTTAATAATAATAATAAACTATCATTACTTTTAATAATAATAATAAACTGTCATTATTTTTCCTGTTCTCCAACCCATTACCGTAATTCAACATCTCTTTTCGCAAGATATCGATGACAAAGCACTGAATATTTTTCGGCGAATTGCTTCGCCTTTTCGTTATGTGGCAACTTAAAAACATGCACTTTTGAATTATTTCCAGCAAATTAATTACCATTCTACGAATGTTATTTAAAAAACAGGACATAGAATATATACACTAGTAATTTTTGAGTAACAATATAGAACTGGCCATTCTTTTGTGCATGACGTATTATATTCCATGTGCAGAGCAATTTGACTTCTAGAGGGCGCTACACAAATTCGACCTTCCTTTTGTCTTATAAACAGGGGACTACTTTATCCTATAAACAAAGATGTCCATATGTTGTACACATATTCTCAATTATTAATAAATTCTTCAATTATTTTTCGTATTGTTAATCGCTTCTTTTCATGTGTATTGAATGTTTCAATCAACTAGTTATAATTACAGTTCCCAAAAATTTTCATGGTGGATCGACATGAAATTTTGAGAAGCGGCCTAAATATAAAATTTTAGCTTCGAATATTTATTAGTTTTTAAGAGATTAATAAAAATTTTCTCACATTGCACAATATAGTACAATGTGTTAAATTCTGCATATACAGACGATGTACATTAATATAACAATTATCGCTGCATTAATCACTATTGATGACAGCCTTTATATATATATATATATATATA